AACCAAATCTAAGTGGTCGCTGTTTAATACTGATGTAAAAATGTTTCGCAATTTCGAATTTTAATATTACTGTTATTAAATTTCATTTCTTTATAGGCTCCAGCTATTATGTTACGTAATTGAAATATCATCAGTACTACAATAAAATGAAAAAGGCCCACGTATTTAAAGTATATAAGTAGTGAGGATTAAATCCGCGTCCTCAATCCTTACTACACGTGCTCCTACACGCTTTATTGTTTAATTATCGCTATCATCACACATCTGACCACCGATCTAATCGTTCGAATAATTGAAATTATTCGGCGGTAATCGGTATAAGCCGAAATCGATCACTGCGGCCTTACGCTCAACTTTTAGTCTGTAGCACGTATGCATCTTATTGCGTAGAGATAAGAGTCATATAAGTTCTATTATAAATGATCTGTAGGCGACTGTATTAGATTATTGACTTCTGTTTGGGTTTTTTTTATGTTTCATATCTGACAGTGATGGATCTTGTACAGTTGACGAATTTGCGTTAATGTTATGATCACGAAGATATTTTTTAACAACAGTTGTCAGATTTGCATAAAATATGTTTTTTTACAAAGTAATTATACTTCATTTTCTTGATCATCGTTGGTCCATAAAAGTTCACTATTGGACAAGGGTTTCTTCCATTTTATTTTCTGGCATAATCTACTACGTTAAAGAATGAGGTGGTGAAATATCTTACGCCGCCATTACACAAAACTATAAAGGAATATGATGGAAATACATTTGTCTCTAAAATCACACAGTTTTTAAAAAAAAAGTTGAAATTTTTTTTATCTATTAGAATGCAACATTAAAAGAAGATAAATAATTTTAAGTCCTAAGTCTTTGTTTACAGTAAAATAATCGGTAATACGATTTTGTAGTTGGTACCTTGCATTGACCAAAGGCATTGTACAATGAACAATGCTCCTGACAAAAAGGTCAAAATTTAGTGTTATGATTCACATATACTTTTGATATACCATATACAGCCTGATACAAAATTCGTTCCCAATATAGATTTATATTTAATACAAATTTAAACTTGAGAAATATAATTTGTTCAATCTATTAAAGCTGCTGGTGGCTGAGAATCTTTCATTACAGCTGTAATTTCATATAATCACAACTCTTAACAGGTGGATTGTAGGTCTCGCATCTATGACGCTGTTCCCCATTGCTGGTCTGGAAATATTTCGGCTAGTACCAACAAGACGGTTTTATCGGAAACCGTCAGATCTTTCTCTCATAAGAATTTAAAATATACATCGGTGTGGTTTCCTTAGTTTAAGAATCCTTTCGTTGGAATATAAAATCGTGAACAATAAATTAATTTCTATCTAGAATTCCTTTAATTTTTCTCAGTCACATCTTACTCGCAAACACGGAAGCAATAAAAATAGAATACTTTGGAACTTTTTAGAACTAAAAAAAACTGTATAATTCTATAGACTGTTGTAAAAAATAGTAAAGACAAAATATCTTTACTTGAATTACAAAACTGGTTATTTTAGCTTTCTCTGAGCTTTTTTATTTTTTTATACGGAGCTTTAAATACTTTGCTTATTTGTTTTAGAACACGCTATGTATAGTTTTTTTCCGGTTGGTCACAATCTGACCGTTACATTTCAATAATCGTCTTAACAGCCAAGATCGCTTATCGGCCGCGCCTACTAGCCATAGTGATGCACTACTGGAACAACAGTTTTTAAAGAACAGGAAAATTACCCTTCTATTCTTAATGACATGCTTTTTGTTTTGGAGATGGCCTTTTTTAAAAAGGTTTAATTATCACTATCATCACACATCTGACCACCGATCTAATCGTTCGAATAATTGAAAATATTCCGCAGTAATCGGTGACTTTGGAGTATGTTAGGGCTGAATCTGGATGGCATGGTGAGAAATTATTGTGTGTTGAGATGAGTGTGGTTTGCAAGTTGATGTTGTGACCAGGATTAAGAAAGGAATGCTTCGGTGGTTTGGTCATGTAGAAAGAATGAATGAGAAAAGAGTGACAAAGCAAATTTATGTTGCAGAGGTGTACGGCAGAATCAGGAAGGGACGCCCTAGGCGAAAGTGTATCGACCAAATTCGCGTCATATTGAAAATGGGCCAAATTAAGAGTACCTTAAACCGACGAGCGTGTATGCGTAGGTATATGGATGTGCTAGAGAGGTGTGTCGGGATCGTGCCAAATAAAAGTCTATTGTCTCTGTCTACCCCTGTGGGTGACAGGCGTGAGTGTTTATGTAATCGATATAATCTTGTGCTTCATAAGACTATAAAAGGCCACTGCTAGACATGTGTCTCTCCCGTTGCAGGGAAGATTTGCCTTAATCGTCACGTTGGCAAGCGGAAGGACGAGCGCCAAACGTCTCGCGCCTTTAATGCTGCTGCTCGTTAACGATCTGAGTATTTTATGTCTGACGTACACAAGATGACAACACCGCCATCTTTCGGCAGTTATTAGTTTTTTTTCGGCATTTTCCATAAGTGTCTCTTATTACATTCACAGGACGCAGTTTGGTGGATGAGATTGATTCTCATAAGCCGCCATCACACGGGAAATACTTTATAATGTTAAGAACATAACCCATGTCTCTATTTATAAAAAAACAATTTCTGTCCGTTCGTCTCGCAAAAACTCGAAAATAGCTCGAGCAATTTTTGATGAAATTTTCGTGCGTGTTTGAGTAGGTTAAGACGACCCTTAATAGTTTAGATTCACAATTGGACCCGGTAGATGGCGCTGTTGTCGTCCAGAAATCACCCGTGTGAATAATAAATCATATTTTTAAATTTATAACTAAAATCTGAATAATGTATAGTTAGATATGATGAAATGAAATTTGTAACTTGTAGTCACTTTATAAATGAGTCATGTAAATTATAAAGTACATTTCGGGACTCTTTTCCGCATCACTAGAAGCTCGTTGAGTCGTAATACAATACAATGTTGTTCACAATAAAATTTGTCTCAACTTTACAATGAGCAATCAAATTACCGTCAGAACTATCTGGGAGCGGGTCTGGAACGCGCCTTGACCATGTGGCCTCTTCGTGCTTATCTACGCTAGTGATCGTCATAAGCTTAAGATTTATTATCTTTTATGCCTCTGACTTAGCATTTAAAAGGATATATAAATTACAAAAGACTATTTTAAGTTCTAAGTTACGTCTAATGTATTATTCAATGTTTCTACATTATCAGCTCGTAAGTCCACTGCTGAACATTGGCCTCTCTCGTTAAAGGAAGGATTTGCTTTAATCGCTGTGCAGGCACACGGATTGGCAGTTAATTTTTTACATCATAATAAATACTTTATTGGTTTTCATTATTCACATAAGAGTAACCGAATTTTAAACTTAATTTCAAATATATAAATAATGATATACCGTTTTGAAAATACGAGTAAATAAGGATTCTACTTTAATTTGAAATTATCCCAAATTGAATGTGATTTATGGGCAACAACGTTATTGCCGATAATTTGTTCCATAACCTTGGTATATAAATTATATCAAAAAGATGCGGTTCCGTTAAAAACTACTGAATTGATTTAATTGAAAATATAATCAGCATTCCTGATACAGTTGAGCGTTGAATTAAATTGGCTTGAAAGATATCATAATTTGTTTTCGATGTATTCGAGATTATCATTATCGTAAGACACACAGACATCCTTTTGAAGACGCCTTAAAACGAGGAGAAATAATATAACTGAGACTTTCAAATATCTGGACCATTATAGCAACTTGATAATAGAAATGATACGTGGTAGAGCCATGCTGCAGCTATATTAGTAGTATAGTTGTAGCACGAATGGGTCGGCTCGACCGGGGAAGGACCACGCTCTCACAGAATACCAGCGTCAAATAGCATCTAAACACTGCTGTGTTTCGTATGGTGAGTGTAGAGAACCGGAGACCCTTTTTACTGGAAAAGAGACATTCCATCTTAGTCCTCACGGGTTACAACGCATCTGCATTTCGATTCGCAAATGAAGATAAATGTAGACATCTACAACATAGGCAACAGCAACGTCTTGCACTCCGATTTACTTTATAATGTTTCCATTTAAGAACCTTTCTTCCACTTGAACACACAGCCACAGCCACCACTTACCATCAGGTGGACTGTGTGCTCGTTTGTCACACTATCATATAAAAAAAAAGAAATTTAAAAGGTTAATTAACTTAATATTCCCAATTCAAGTCATATAATGATACAATAATATATCATAGCACTAAACAAGTATTGTGTCCTTCACATGACAATGGCTTTAGTCTTGAAGAATCCAACTCACACAAATTATCTCTATATAAGGCAGATTTTTCTTTATACTTTACTTTAGTTATTAATATTTGTATACACGCAATAATGTATCTTAATTTAACTCAGTAGTCAATATTAACTTGTATAATATGTTACCCCGTTTTTTAGGTTTCTAAAATGTTAGTTAAAGATCCGTTATATGCTTATTTACTCCTTATATATAACCATAATCAAAGTAAAAGCGAAAAAAGCTACGAAGAACGGTATTGCCGATTTCACCAGGATTTATTTGAACACGGGTTTATTTGAGGAACGAGATGCACATAGGAATACCAACCGTTATTCATTTTTCTCTTACCGGGATAGTGTTACATATAGATTTCAATATCAACAGTCTTAACCCGCGCGTGTGTACGTGATCCCGGCCCGCGTATATTTCATAAGATTTTAGAGGTGCATGAATCACGCGGGACACGAAAGGGCGATCACTCACCGCTGCCGACGTATGGAGCCCTCGGACCTTCGCCTTATTAGCATGCACACCACGCATCTACCCTAGGCCCAACACTACGATATGTGAGAGCTATTACTAGACACTTTGCCCGTGTTAATATTGCTGTAAATCGTCTATCGGGAAGCATTTCCATCTTCACTCTTTTTGGTTTTTCTTCAAAGTTTAACATATTTTTTTCTTTGCCAACAGAACCGAGTAACTACGTCTGCTCTACGTGTAAAGCGCGTGTGCACTCAGCTTGGAGATTACTTCAACACGTCCAACATGTTCATGGCGTTAAAATCTATGTGGAGAGTATGCCTCAACCGCAGAACAAGCAGAATCACTCATCTTCGAGTACCTCATCGTCGAGCTCGGGTTGTTCGTCCACTGGCGCACCACTACCGCCGCCTTCTTTACGCCATCATCCTTTACTGCCGCCTCCAGATATACATTCGCCTTTTGGAGTTGGAGGGCTCCTCAGAATGCCATTACCTGGCAGCTTACCACCGCTAGCTCACCCGTCAGTTCCTCCTGCGCCACTTTTTGCGCGGCCGAATCACCATGACCACCGTTTTCGGATGGAACAACTGGTTTCAGAGCAATTTCGACATCACGGTCTTAATCTGGCAGCTGCTGCAGCAGCTGTAGCTGCAAACTCACTACCCCCCCATCAACCTTTCCCATCACCTGCTGATCGCTCTTCAGCTATACCAACAACCCTAACAGCTCGGGAAAGACCACCACCAGTATCTCAACCTCTCTCACTTGAACCCCAGCTGGATTTTTACTCGCAGCGCTTGCGGCAACTGGCCGGTACGACCAGTCCAGGGGCGGCCACAGGCAATTCGAGCTCTCCTAGCCCCAGGAAGCATTCGCCGCCGTTCGCTTCCCCGTCGCCCTCCCGAGTCGGTCAGACTCCTCCGGCGGGCGCCGGACCCGGAACGGTGGACGTCCCACGAGAAGCCACGAGGCCACGTAGTTCAATTTCACCGGAGAAAGGAACTGAGCCACAGGCAGCCGATGCTCCGCCCACCGAACGCACAACATCTACTCCACCAGTTAAACGCAATAATGATGAATCAGTGCATTGTTGTGAATTTTGTGGCAAAAAGTTCCGATTTGAAAATAGCTTAGCTGTCCATCGTCGATCACATACAGGCGAGAAACCATTTAAATGCACTAAATGTGATGAAGCATTCGAGAAGGCTTCGAAATTAAAACGTCACATGAAAGTCCATCGTGTGCCTGACGCAAATGCAGAAGATGGTGAGTCTGGTGGTGATACTGGAGATGATGATACCGAAGATGATTTGGAAGACGAAGAGATCGAAGGCGAAGAAGAGGAAGATAATGAGGATGGAGAAGATGTTGAGGAAGCAGAGGACTTGACAGTTTCAAATAGCAGCGCACCTTCTGCACCTCCTCGGAAACAAACACCAGCAACACCTTCCCATCCACCATCAGCATCAGTTGTTGGTGAACTGATGGACAAATTTGGTCTATCAAATATTGCGCAATACAGTGAGGCATTCAAACAGGCGCTACAAGAATCTGGGAACTCCCTCAAATGGCAACTTGCAAAGGATCGAGATAACAACAATGGACCTCCTCCTGACAAGCCCAATGGAATGCCGCCTACAGCCGCATTGCGCTTAAAAGAAGAGTTCGCAAAAATGCCACCTCAACCCCATCCATTGTTCAACCCTTTTGAGAACCCGTTCGAAGCGTCTAAGCGCATGAAGTTGGATATGGAAAGGGGAGAAGGGTGGTGGTTGCCAACATTGCATGCACAGCGTCCACCTGATAATATATTTGATGGACTCAAAAACAGTGGCAACGGATTACTGCAAAACTCTTTACTAAAATCAAAGGAAGGAAGACGAAATGACACATGCGAGTTTTGTGGGAAGGTTTTTAAAAACTGTTCAAATTTGACAGTACACAGACGATCGCATACAGGCGAAAAGCCATACAAGTGTGAGCTATGTTCGTACGCGTGTGCGCAAAGCTCAAAGTTAACGCGGCATATGAAAACTCATGGGAGACTTGGGAAGGATGTTTACCGATGTAGGTTTTGCGAGATGCCATTCTCAGTTCCATCAACCCTAGAGAAGCATATGCGTAAATGTGTTGTGAATCAAAGTAATGGTGCGGCCCTAGCTTTGTCCGACGACTCAAACGCGTGCCGTGACGAAGCCTCGTGACTCTACCCGTGGGGTGGCCTACGTTTGCCACCGCCCGCGCCGCCCAGCCAAATCTTCTAAGGCCTAAAACTTCGGCCGATGCGTTCCACCATGCTACAAACGCCTCTTTTGCATAAATGTCGAAAGCGGGTCGACAATTGTTCAATTTCTAGTCTTAAGGAGTTAATAACGTAACAGTTAAAGCAATTCTAGCCCAAAAATCAGACACCGAAGGGCATTAATTTATCTGCTATATATTTAGTGACATATCTCGGGTATTGAATGTTGAACAGTTGCAGTTGTATTGTTGATGTTAGTTCGAGATTTTTCGGTTATTATCTTTGGAGGCTGTACTAGGATCTTTATGTTACATACATTCTATCGTTTTATTCATTGTAAAAATCGAAGAAACCAATGCCAAAGTTAGCTACGTTGATTTACGATATATTTTAGTTTTTGTAAGCTGTATAGTGTCAATTAATCAGTAAACAATTTTCCAGTATTTAATAAGATCTTCGGTAGTTGGTGTAAGTTGTTTAGTATTTTTAGGATATTATGTACAAGCAAATGTTTCCTATCCTAGATAAACTTGTGTAAATATTTGATTTAAGTGTAATGTGTAAATCGAGTACCTACCTATTGATGTTCATGTTTATAGAAAACAATAATGTTTGGCAAATATAAAAAAAATTGGCAAAAAGACGGTGAGTTTCCTACAATCGATAAATTTAGCGATGTAGAAAGCAAAATTAAAATCGATTATATGGGTAGGTGTTATCAACAAGGTATGTCTATATTAAGTAGTATTTAAATCGATTAAATTAAATAGTTATTCTGAAGAGTTATAAAATTCCTCTCTTTCTTGCAAGTGGAAACTAGTTATTTTGTTAAGACTGAATAATATTCCAGTTTTGTTTTTATTTAAATATATGTTTCCTTGTGATTTTGAATTCGTGGAAGAACTTTCACTAGTACCTAAATTAGTCCAAGTGTGAAATCTTTCAGTATACGTACTTAATGTAAATTATAATAGAATTTATATTAGATAATTATAAGTAAATTATAAATAGAAAACGTTTTGTCTCCGAAATCGATCCCTTCCTATTAAATAATTTTAGAACCTCTTCAGATACTGTATATGACAACGTACTACATACATTATCTGGATGGGTTCTAAGTAAGTCAAATGTAATATTTAAATGTTGACCTTTTCAAAATAATCAATAAGCCATTTTATAATGTCTAATAAATTAAAATGACTTGTTGATACAACTTTGAACATGTTTGCTCTTGTGCTTGCCGACTAAATTCGAATTAAGTGTCATAGTAAAAAAAAAAGTCTGTAAATTATAGATATCGTTAAATTATGTCATTGCTCATTAATTAATAATTTTACCACTATTATATGTAGCTTCTTTGCAAAACATAAAATCAATGAATTCACTTTTGAATGCTCTAAATGAAAGTATCAAATTAAAGAAAGAGTGATAATTATTTTTGACTTTATGTTTTGTGAAGATAAACTTTAATAATGTTTGAAATGTTAATAGTGATAAAAAAATTCAAATGTTTAGTACAACCGCGATGGTGACGAGCGGAGACAAAATAGCAAAACAAAAAACTAAGACAAATTTTATCTTGTAACTATGTGAAAGATGAACTGTTTTTATTATTTTTCATTTTTATTATTTTTATTTCAATAAATATCCACAATTTGTTATTCAATTATGTTGTTTGATTGAATTATCTTTTCACATAATAAATGACTCACTTCTCTACTAAAAATAAAATTAAAAGAGGTGATAAAAATAATGTAAAATATCCCTCTGGATTTTTTACAACTGGTATGTTGTCGGCGAGATATTTTTTTCTTATAAATTATAAGCTGCTGCTTGACTGTGATTCCACCTATTGTTGAAATTATCAAGATTATTACTACATTTTTAGTAGAAGTATTATACGATAATGAAACTCATTAAAATGCCAATTGAGAATATAATATTGCACCGCAAGTCTTTAAATAATGGAGGTATGAATGATTTTCTAGTTTTTTTTTTAACCAGGATGACCGCATGTATTGTCACAATCGTTATTAACAATATAATTCACCATGTAGTGGCGATTTAAGAGTATCTACTACCCCATATCGTCCCGTGGGAGTCATTAGCGACGACTAAGAGAAACTCAAACTGGATTGGTAGCAGCATCTTTATTATAACAACTTAAAATACTTTGGAAAACCCAAAAGTGTACGCCATATATGAAATAAAAATAGTGACGATAATTTTTATAAGAAAAACAAATAGATAATCTGAGTTCAATAACAAAAATCATTAGGGATCCTCCTTAGAATATATGGAATCTTATTTAATATTATATATCTCAATCTATTGCTTACATTTCTATTAAGCGAGAAGACTCACCGACGCACAAACCAACGAACGGCAGTCCATATATTTTTTTCAGTTAAATAAACTAATCTTATAATTCAATGTCTGTAGTCATTGTAACGTTAATAATAATAATATGGATTTGATGTCTAGCTAATAGTATAAGAACGATTTTATGTAGCGAAATTGAGGTATGGCCATATATCGAGAGTAGAGCACTCCCTCACATTGTGAGGCGTGCAATAATAAAAAGAAAACTGCGATTGCCAACTCGCCTTCGAAATATGTATAATATTGGCAATATTCCCCGAACATGGTAATGTATGGAGAAGGCTTATGCTCAGCCGTGGAATTGTCCGTTTTAATAGCCTGTAATGAATGAAAAAATAGGCAACCCGTGTATTACTAGCCGTGTTTAATCACAGTATTAACTCAATTACCGAACACCTCATTCAGTTACTAGTTATCGCCTCATCGTCATTATTACGAACTGTGAAAAGTCCACTTTTGAACATACGCCTCCTCTGTAGATTTTCTTAATTGCCATAGTTGCCAAACACAGTAGATAAGTTGACAACCTCATTTTTTTATCGTAGTTGAGTAGTTATCAGAAAGATGTTGCTGCCCATCTCGTGATTCAGTTTCATTGTTTCGTCTCTTGCTGGATGATATGGGCTAATTGATAGTCTTGCACCGCCACTACATTGCACCTGCGCAGGAAATATTATAATGCTGAAAGCTTAAATCAAAAAAACAAGATTTCCTCAAGGTATCATCCCCGTACCTATACTTTTTGCCACCAAGTAGCGGTGCATATAAAAAATAAGCAATCAATACAATTGCCACCCAGCGGCGGCGTAAAAGACTTCATCACCCTATTTCGTTCCGAGGGTATTGGAGCAGATATAGCAGCATCATACTGTTAAGCTCAACCAAAAAATCTGGAGTTGCCAACCCTACTACCAAGTATCGCAACTATGGCCAATGGGGGATATTTCCCATATTTTCGATGCTGTCTATGAAGCAATCTATTATTTTTTCTTTCTTTTAAAAAAAAGTTACCTCAACACTAGAATTTCTCCTGTATCATGGAGACAGTTTACAAACAGAAATTGCACAAGGACAGACATCCAGACCTATTATTTGTAGACCAGACAAATACTTGTTTCATGCGGAATTCGAACCCGCGACCCTTAGCGCAGCAACTCTAACTAAGCCATTGCGCTACGGATCCGTCAAAACTATGGGGAAGACCGTCAAACCGATGTTTAACATTGGATTTTTGATAGGAAATGAAACTTATTATGAAGTAGCGACGATAAGGCGTAAAAGGAACCATCAATTTAAAACAATATTATTGACATGTTTACGTAAGTTTCTTAATCAGAATTTTTTTTGTTAAATTGTCCCATGAGAATGAGCACTGTTGCCTGAGATACAAGCTTATTGCTTAGTTCGGGCGCAGATGCAAATGTATGTTGTTAAAAAATCCTAAATAAATAGATTATTATTATTATTATTATGGGGTATTTCTAGAGTATACTCATCTGGTTGGGCTGAATCAATATATAAAAGGAAATGATAAATATACTTAAATAAGTATTGAATATTCTAATAAAAATAAATAAATACTACTAGATAAAAGCCCAACCAGGTGGAAGTCCTCAGTAGGGGAGACCAAACGGCCGAGGGTTAGGGGAAAGGGAAAGAAACCGGCGGACGATGCGGGCGGTATCCAGGTGCACAGTCTTATGTATTTGAGCTCGGAGCGGCCCGTCACGGAGTCCCTGTCGCCTGAGATGACCCGAGAGGCTGACCGAGATTAGCCTGTTCGCAGAGACGACAACAGGAATAACTTGCGGCAGACCACCCCACATGACGGTCACCTCGTGAGACAGGTCCAGATATTGTTTTCTTGTCTCCTTTGGTTTTCACGAGGTTCTCGTCATACGGAATGGTAATGTCGAACAAAAATAACTTTAACTATGCCCAGAATTTATTATTATTAGTATTATTATTACTTCATCTCGATCCTGTGAGTATTTTAATAGTCGTTATTGGAAATATCAGACAAATTCCATGATTTCCAATAGATGGCGCTAAGATGGCCGATAGGGGTCAGCGCTTTACATAACGCCTTATACTCCTATCACTAACCCAACTTTCAACCGTAGCTAAGTTTTTAAATCCTTCAAAGAAGAAGAAGGTAAATACGTTCGATTACACCAGATGAACGCTGATTACGATCAACTGAAGGACAGCGGTTGCGTAGTAGCGATGTTAGAGACTTCTTTATCCCATATGATCCCGTGAAATCTGAAATAGAAGGTAGTATAAAAAAAATCAGCGTGGCAACTATTGCAAATATCACCCCTATTAGGCAAACTATAAGGAAGGCCTATGTTCAGCAGTGGACTTTATGGGCTGTTATAATGATAAATGAGTGGAAGAATGAAGAAGGAATAAAGGTAAAACAAATCTTATAAGCCTAATGTTAAGATTATTCCTATAATATCTTCTTAGAGTAATCATTGGTACAGTTGGATAGAACAGATCAGTAAGCTGGTAATGTAAGTGGTAATGGTACGACCATATAACACAACAATACAAAAATCGATGCGCAGAAGGATT